GTTATGTAACCCTATTACTGGTGAATATTTGGAGATAAAAAAGTTCTAGTAAATGAATCCTTTCAGATTTGGGAACATAAAGAATAACAGTTTGATTTAACCAGATTTAAACAATGACAAACTTGACTTGTTCTATTTAAAAGAACTTGTTTTTTGCTGAATCAGGAATTTTATGTGCAAGGTATATTTTTAAAATTGCATCACCAACATGCATCATTAAACACTGATTGTATTAACATCCTGACACAGCTTCAAATCTGTGAACTCTAGGTGTTTAAATACCTTTATCAGGCATCGGATGGCACTGCCACTGGTGACGCCCACGTCACACAGAGCCCAGCTGTCCTGCAGAGCAGCACCACCATAGCTCAGCTCCAGGTAGCGCCTGACCTGCTTTTCATCGGAGAGTTGTACAAGAAATGTTTCCTACAGGAGAGAGTGGATAGAGTATGAGCAAGAAACATTTGTGATCAACCATGTTCAGTGTGTAGCTGCATTTACTTCCCCAAGTAAACTGAATAAAAACCTCTCCAGTGTAGCTTTTACTTTGACATATAACAAATAATAGACTGACAGTGACAGTGTATTAGTCTAATAGTGTCAGTGCTACTTTCAGTCTATGCAAACACAAATACATGTATAAACCAATTTGCAATGCACATTATTTCACCATCAAAAGCATCATCATGCCACAGATGCAATAGATCCATCAAACGCTCCAGTAATCCTCCAGTAATCATCACACATATTTTTATCATGTCAAATCTTGTCCAGGTATCAAGGTCCATTTCAGGCCCTGGGTCCAGACTGGAGCTGTTTACCTTCAACATCTGCTTCATGGTCCCCACAGTCTGATCTGAAGGGACGTCAAAAGGCTCACAGGAGCCCTCAAAGTAGACAAGCACCCTCATGGTCAGGACATACGTCCGTCGTCTGTTTGGCTCGGCTGCGGTGCTCTGATGGGACTGGGCAGTGTGCAGCGGGGGGGAGTTTGTCACAGGCAGATTCATTGTTGGGAGGGGGCAGGGGTTGGGTGGGGTTTGAGGAGGCAAAACTATCTAACAGGGATCTAACAGGTCCAGCGATCTAACAGGTCCAGCAATAATCTTTAAAACCAAGATGTCTTCAAGAATTATTTCTAAAATGTTAGTTATACTCAAGTTGATGAACTCATCTGTTTGGCTTGGTAACAAGGAGTTCTAAAGTTTTATCAAGTTGGGTTTTAAGATTATTTATATAGCACATTAAAAAACAACTGCAGTTAACCAAAGTGCTGAACAATAAAAGAAAAAGAATTGGTGGGAAATATTTCTCACCCCACAGACAAGTAGAGTCCTTTAATATTGTTGGATAGGAACATTTCACACTGTATTAAATGAAGATGAAATAAATTAAAAGGGTGAACATATGTTATATTAAAAAAATACTTTTTACATCATAGTTTTTTTCTATGTTAAACAGTCACAACAATTACACTTCATCATGTGCCTGGACTCAAAGTTCGGGTTTACTTATATATAATATAACATTATTACAGCAATGCAGTACAATTACAATGTACATCAGGATGTTAACTGTAGTTTTGTTACTTGACTCTTTTCTAACATTCCTACACAAAGCAGGCCAGGCTGAGTGGACTAAGATACAAGGCTACTGTATTACGGATATAAAAGTGTTCCCAGTTTTAAAATGTGGGACCCGGGTCTTACGTCAGTTCCTCACTCTTCCTTTTATCGTGAAACAAAGGGACACACTGTTTCACGCTGCTATGAAAGAACTTTACAGTAATTTGAAATGTTTTGGACGTTTACGATTCTTCTATAAAATTTTACAGGGGACAGTTAATTTGCATTTGACCTTTTTCAAGTCTGAAGCTGTCCACTGCGCCTTTGTGCTCGATCTTGGCTAAAGAAGAGAGAGCTGCGGGCTGTGATGATTTCAGTTCTTTGTGCAAAAATCGAAATCAAAACACTGCTATTGACTTCATGGTTCTTTTATTCTAATATTTTGATTCTTTCATTGCTGTTTTGATCCATGTTTTCCTTCACATTATCTTTATGTTCTGCAGCAACTCTTGGTTGATTTTGTGAATAAATAAATTTAACTTTGAGCTGAAATAATTTTTTATTCAAGGAGGAAGAAAAAAAAATGTTATTTTTGCTCATAGCATGTCAACAGTGACAACAGTATTGATCTTCGAATTTGCAATGGGCAGACAATTTAGGCGACTTACTGAGTCATTAACAGCAAAATGATAATAGAGCATTATAAGCCTCCAGAGTCTACAGGAGGGGTTCATTGGTTCCTAATATTTAATTTATTTTTAGTTGTATTGCGTGAATGATGAATGACAAAATAAATATCAATGCAACAATAATGTTTCACATAGAAATCATAAAAGGTACAGAAATGTGATATTGACAGAAACTCAGATCAAACCAATACATTGGAAAGAAATATCAATATATTCTTCTTTCATAACTTTGACATTCTTGAAGGCACTGTAGCTGATGCATTGACACTGATACTAATTTGGAGTCAGTTAAATTGTTAATTTTCGATGCTGTGAGAGCGACAGCAACTAAATTTGGTTTAAATGTTGTGAGATAGAGGTAGAAATCTCTGAGATGAGTGGGCATCATATGAAACAAAATCTATCTGGAAGACTATAAACCACCAGGTATGTGAGAAGATGTTCTCTGTCATTTTAGCTGGACAGATCATTTTTTCAGAGAAACACAAGCAGAACATGTATTTGCTGACCTCTAGTGGTATAAAGTGCTGCTTTGGAGTGTGCTGTCAGCCTGGGTTCTGTATTTTCCTTTTTTCTTTTCATTTAATTCATTTTTCATTGCCCAAAACATTCACCCATAATCTATTTTATTATTTTGTTTGTGCTCAAATTGAAATTTGACACATTTCAAGAAACTTTTTCTCCAAGCGCCAGAACAACAGTAAGGCCAAGACAGCGAGGTAATGGCACTGGCTCATTTTAAAACAACATTTGGTAATAGTATTGTTAAGTTGACATTAGCTACCTACCAGTACATCCCTATAGAACCTAAAAAAATCTGGTCTTCACCATTTGTGTTTCCTTTGTTAAAAGATTTTTTAAAGTACCTCTTTGTCCACAGGTGAGCGGTCTCTGTTCCTGCATGTCTCTGAGTCTCCTTCTTCAGTTTTCAGTTGGATCATGGAACAAACTGACTTAGACAACATCAGCTATCGAACAATAACATCTCACCCATCATTTACATCTGCACATGAAAGACAATGAAACTCCTCAAAATGACATTTTTAAATATATAACCTGAACAACTGCAGATGAATTAAACTCATGAGCACGGTGATGATAAGTGTCTTAATGCAAACGTGTCCACACCTTTACCTGCTTACAATAAGTACCTGTGTGCATCGGACCAGCCGTGGTGAGGCTGTAGAAACAGACGCTGCTCATGTGACTGTAAAAGGCAGGGGACGGCTGCTGGTGTCGTCACGTGGATCTGTTTACGTCTGGAGTCATTTCCGATACGGGGGCGACTGACGGGTGTGTCGTCCAATCAGGAGCCGAGTACGGAGCAGAGGACGTGACGGACGTTGCTTACGCCTCTCACATGAAATAAGAAGAAGAAGAAGAAAAAGGAGAAGAAGAAGCTTTAGGGATTATAGTGACACAGTGTTGAAGTGCATCTCCGTCGTTGCGTGGTTTCTTTAACAGCAAATCCAAGAGAGCGATGTCCCCGACAGCAGCTGAACCCGCGGACCAGACCAGTCTCCGGGCAGGAAAGAAGGTAAACAGCGGCGAACAGCGGGCTAGCCACCTGTGTTAGCATCGTGCTAACTCGGGCACAGCACGGTCTGTTTTTGTTGCTAGCTCCACACCTTGCGCGGGTTTCCTCACCCGGGTTATTTACGTGTACCAACACAACAAAGTACTGCCATGTCACACTGCATGACGGGGGTGTTGTTTGCGGGTATTAATCTGCTCAGTGTGTTAACCGCACAGTCTCTGAGATTTGAGCTGTTAAACTTTAGTACAGACAGATTCACTGTTGGCGGCTTGTGTTGCTATTTCCTCTTTTCACATCCAGTCACGCTCACATGCCAATTCAGGAAAATCACCATTACCTCATATTCTTTTCTTGCCCCAAACTGTCTGTTGGTGTTTAGTCACCGGATCACTGACTCATGTTGCATTCACTTCCCCTCCACTTTATTTCTGGCTAAATTAGTCCCCCTGTGTTCCCGCCAGGTTACAATCAATGCATCTGTCGCTGGGTGGTTTTATGCATGCCATGTGATAATGATAATAATCTTTAGGATTTGCATTTGTCAGATATCAACTTCTGTTAAATCTACAATCAACACAAGCACCACCCTGCAGCTCATCTAACCATGGCAGCATAGCAGCAGCATTGTTTTTCCACACATGACTGACATTGACTGCAAATCACTCAGCAAGGCTGTTATTGCAAAGCGGTGATGATTGGTGGATTAATTGATTTATTGATTGATAGAAAATGAATCTGAAAATTAAGGCTGAGTGTAAAAACATTAACGATGATTATTGCAACTTGATTTTCATCAGGAGCAATATAACAAATGTTTTGCATTGCACAAGCAATGATCCACCTCAGATTTGTAAAATTGTTTTTGTAAAATGCATATATGCATCAATGTAATAAACATTGATTATGACAGATAAATCAAACTGATAAGATGTAGCAGCTTACCAAAAATCGTTTGTCTTTTTTATGTTGTATGTAAAAAATGTTTCTCAATTGAATTTCCAGAAAATGTACTGTTATTATAGATCGATGAACTTTATTGACCCCAGTTAGGAAATTGTTGTGTCACAGCAGCAGTTCAACATTCACAGAGAGTAAGACCCAAAAGACAAGGTGCAGGTTGTAGTATTTGACATGACTAAATATATATTTGGTAAAATGGGTATGAATATAGTATGAGGAAAATAAATACATATTTGACAGTTATTGCAGCAGTAATTCCTTTTATTATCATTATTATTATTATTTTTTCGATATTATTAGATATTATATATAAAGTTGAAAAAGATATTCCTTTAATAGTCCTACAATGGGGACATTTTCCCTTTAGATCCGTGCACAGGATATTGACCATATCCAGCCTTTTCTCCTCCCTGAAATACTACTTTCCTATTTTGCAGCTTGACTACATGGCTTAATGGTCCAAAGCCCTGCAAGCCTTGTTTTCTCCTAATCACATACCACCCTCGACCAAATGAACTTGTGTGACCCCTAGGCTGAGATAGTCTTTACGAGGCAACTGGCAATGAAAAGTATAACATAAAGCAGCAAGATAGTCCTGACACAGAGCCAAGACACTGGCTTAAAGAAAATATACAGTACATCATAGGACAATTGTTACAAACTCCTGCACAGTGCTTTAATATGGTCCTCTTTGTTCCCCACAGAGCATACGCTGCTTTGGCAGGGGATTTTTTTTTTAATGAAAAAGTAGGACAGCTACACCCAAGAGAGATAAATGCTCTACTGAGTCCATAATATTTAGTGTATCTTCACACATCATGCAGTCAGTTATCCAGTAAAAATACAAGGACAAAGGGCTGTGATTACATTTGTTAAGTCCAAGCTCATATTGATAAACTATTCAAGTTTTTGACACTGTTTCAGAAGATTGGTTTTAATATCGAAATTTATAATTCATGTATTCAAGCGTTGTGCTCTTCCACTTAACACTAACATGCAATACTCCAAGCCTTGCACAGTGTGCTGCTGCAGTGAGTGTGAGTCAAACATCTGAAAGTTATGTTAAATGGTTCAGCGAGTTGACCGCTGACTCGCGGTACAGATAATCTGTTTGACAAAGCTGGTGCACACAGATAAATGTCAACATAATTTTCTCTTAAACTCTGAAAAGACAGAAACTCAACTGACATCAATATTTTTAAGTGGCTGTTGTTCAAACTGACTTCCTTGTGTCACAATCAAGGAAAATTCCAAAAGAAAAATTAGTGCTGAAGATTAAATCACCATATGTAAAGTTAACTTAATGTGCGCCAGTGTTCTTCAAGGATACCGACTGTAAAAAAAGCTCACAGTAGGTTAAAATAATGTGATGTAGCATGAGGAACTACGGGCTCATTGTTCAATCTTTTTTTGCAGCTAATACAAGTAAATATTATAATTGTAAGTGTTCAGGAGTAAAGAACTTTTTAAAATACCATTATCTCATTTTAGAACTCATACCTATATATAATGACATTTCAGGACTGTTGAATCTATGTTTGTGAGTTTACATTAACGCAAATATTGATGTCTTTTCCAGGTGTGACGGCAGCGTTGCATAAAGGGGTTCCACTGCAGGCCATCGTGTGCGTGTGTGTTTATGTTGTATGTTTATGAGTGAGTGGCACAGCAGCTGTGGGTTGTAAGTGCCAAGATGCTGCTGTCCCTGGGAATGTTAATGCTGTCGGCGACGCAGATATACACGATCTTCACGGTGCAGCTCTTCGCCTTCCTCAACCTGCTGCCCGTGGAGGCTGACATTTCTGCAGTGAGTGATTCGTCAATCAACTAAAAACTATCCCCATGTTAGGCAGGGTTGCATTTACAACTTGATAAGAATCTCAGGCCTGTATTTGATCAGGTTTATGCCCCCTATTATTCAAAACCTCTGAACTAGTCACTTGGGTAAATGGCGATTCCACCGTTTTGGTTTCGATAATGCATCAATCAGGCTCTGTTAAATATTTAAAAAAAATTGAAGATGATGTTTTCCATCTTTCAGTACTCATTTGACAACAAAACGGAGAACTTCGATGACCTGCCTGCACGTTTCGGTTATCGTCTCCCCAGTGATGGACTGAAGGTGAGTGAAGTGTGAGGTGTCTGACAAGCTGATTTATTTAAAGGCTTAATGGCGATTATGAGAGTAACTATGAAATATAAAAAAAGATAGTGGGTGTAGAAAAATGCTCAAACCATCATAAATTCTTTTTACAGTCCCAATACACAAAAAGTAAGTTAATTTGTATACAAAAATGTATATGTATTTATATAGATGATGGATGCATATAAGTTCAACCTCACTATTGGAATAAAATACCTTGTTAAATACCTCCTATCACCCTCAAACACAAATACATTTCATTTACATCTCAGAAGAATACCATTATTTTCAAAAAACGAATTAGACTCTGGCTCTAATTAGACACTCGACTTTTGTGCAGCTCCTTTTAAACGTTGCTGCTCTGTGTTGTGAATTGTAAAGACGTGTGTTACTTCTGCATGCTACCACCCCCCACCCCCCACCCCCAGCACCCACTTATCCACTACCACACCCAGCAACCCACATACTGTTTGATCCACAGAGCTCCCAAACAGAGGGATGATTCATGTCTGCTATCTAAGCTGGTCATTGTGGCTATTCCCAGAGTCAAGAGCCCAGTTGTTGTTGTTGTCGTCATACAAAGGATTTCGGCTCACATAAGAAAACTGTTCATGTTCAGGTTAAGCCCTACATCTAATGATGCTTTTAGCCTAGTGTGTAATTCACATACCATATAAACGCAATCTCCCTGTGTCACGGTCCGATAAGAACAAAATACCAAAAATGAATCATTTCAATTCAATTTTATTTGTATAGTGCCAAATCATAATATACATTATCTCAAGGCACTTTACATAGAAGGTCAAGACCTTAAAATCTTATTTAATATGGAGAAACCCAACACTTCCCACAAATATCAAGAATCAAATATAAAAAATAAAATCAGTATATAAAACTTTGGACCTGTTAAACAAGTAGCATTCTTCACCATGTTGTTCCTGGCGCATAGCAAACCTGCAGGCTGTGATCACAGTTACACACAGTTAACTGCGGGTGTCCCAGCTGTATGTGGCTGTATGTGTGACACCAAACCCGTCTTGTATATTTGGATACTGTGTCTATGGGTCGGTTGCTGTGATGAGAAAAAAAAATCTGTCACATCCATAATGCACATATCATCATACATCATACAAATATCTCTACAGGAAAGGTAGGTGGGACAAACGGGGGGGATTATGGTGCACAGTCGTACTGCTTAGTGTGTATGTGTGTTAGTGTTATGTAACAGTCAGTGTTCGGAAAGATGAGAAAAGGCTTAGGCCCTCTGCCTCTCTCTCATCTAATCTGTCTAGTCAGGGCAGAGAGTCCGAGTGTCATGCAGACATGCTGCCCTAGTCCCTGAAGGCTGCAGTGATTTACAGTTACACTCAGACATTTTTCAATAATACATTTATGGTAAACAGACTGAATTTATATTGCGCTTTTCCAGACTTATCAACCACTCAAAGGCCTTTATAGTTCGAGTTGCTTTCATCTATTCACACACGCTGCGTTGCTAGATGCAGCCTTTTTTCTATTCATATAGAAATATGACATTCATATGTGGTTATAGACATCAGGGTTAATTTGGGGTTACAGTAACTTTCCAAGATCACTTTGGGAGGTGCTGGGGATAGAACCACCAACCTTTTGGTTACTGTACTCTTTACCTCCTCAGCCACATCTGCTCAGTTTATTCAGATTTCTGCAGAATAAAGGTTACATTCATTGTTTCCCATCAAATTTAAGTGTCTTCATACGTCTTTTTAGCTTTTGCAAATCCAGTGACAGACATACTAATTCCATGCATACTGTTTGGCAAAGGCCACAGTGCATCTTTAAAATTAGCATCATTTACTATTACTATCATATCACTTGAGACGTTGTAGTCCTGCAGCTGTATAACGCCTGGAAAAAACCTCTGGCATCACAAGGGAGCACAAGTCTGTTTGTCTGCAGAGGATTCCCCACAGGGAGCTCGGGCTCAAACAGAGCTTCCCTGTTCCCACTTACACAATGGGCTGTTTACAGTTGCCTCAGGGTTGCAATGCCAATGCAAGCCTGTGTAAGCCCACACAATGCAGTTATGCTTTATTTCATTTCTGAAAGGTTCATAACAATAGTTTCAACTCAGAAATTGATTTAAAATGCAGCATGACAGCGCTTGTCAGTGTGAAATTACAATAACATATATTCAAATTAAGTTAGGAGTATCAAAACCACAATGGAAAAAACTTTGTTACCTCTTGTATTTTGGCACTATGATTGAAGACTAGATAAAGGTTTAGATAAGTGATGTATAATAGTTGTCCACAGAAGTGGGCGAGGGAATGTGAATTTATATTTATATACAACATTGGCTTAGATTCGATACTCAACTTGAAATAACTTCAGCTTTCACAGGAAATGTCTCAGCTTTTTAGGCTTTTTGTTTTTATTCCATTTCTGGAGCCACTTTCAATTCCACAATTACAGGCTGATCTGGACTCACAGTCTGAGAAGAGACTCTTGAGCTTCCTCTGGGTAGCGTCTGTGGTTTGGATTGTTGCAACAAGAGGCGATGAGCGACGGCTTTGCCCGGTTATAAAACCTCAGAAATGCACACGTTGGTAGAAATATAAATATTCACTTTCACGTGACATAAACGCCTGGTTTCTATATGTGCTTTGCCAGAGACCACAAACGAGATTATCGGAACATCTAATATTGCTCCAAAATATTTCTGAGTAGTTTGCTAATTCTGCTAAAAGTAGAATTTTGCACAAACGTCTCTACAGTTATTAACTCAGGCTGCAATTGAGGTCTGAATATAGTGGAGGTTGATTGGACATTTTGTTTGTCATAAGAATTTTCTGTGTGTACGAAGAAGTGACAGGAAACACTCCTCCCTTGTCATGTGCTGCCTCGAGGATTGTTGAGCAAACACCTGGTATGCACATGAGGAGGCTGTAGAGCTCTGAGTGGGAACTTGTGTATTCAATTTTTGCTTGTTCCTCTGTTCCACAGTCAAAAGAAATTCATGACAAGGAGACTTTACCCATGGATATGATTTCTGTCAGTATCGGTGCTTTCAGACATGCTCTGAACTCTGGACATTTCCCTGACATTTTCCAGAGAGGCTGTATTTAAGGTTGGAAATGTCTGAGTCAATTACTGAGAAACATCTGGAAAATTCACGCAAATGTTAACGCTGATGTCAATGCGCTCTAAACAAAAACTTTCTGTAGTGGAATTTAAACGTGATGTCCTGCCTGCTGCATGCTCTACCCTGGAACAGCCCCTCACCTTAATGTTCTGGACATTTTCCCGTTGTTATGATTCTGATGTTGACAATCTCCAAAAAACGTCCCCAATTTTCCAGACATCTTCTGGAGCTCATGTCTGGAAAACATGGCTGCTGGGATGTACACCACATGTTGCCCAGGGTCAGCTGGGAAAGGCTTTATCGCCCTGTAACTGTTTTCTGGTTAAGCAGATGTAGATGTGTTTATGATGGATGCAGTTTTTTTTATGTGACGAGTGACAACTATCAAACACGTGGAGGCCGTAAACACATCTTCTGATTAAGAGATCTCATTCCTAGTCACTTGTATATCACAGTAAGTTGTTTCACTACTTCATTGTAATTGTTCTGCTTTTCCCATTCACATCCTCTCAGCCGGTGTAATGTTTGACCCAGAAACAATCCCACATTTTTTCACATTTTAATAGCGGCCGCGCCATTTCACTGGAATTCCTCGTCAGGCGTCTGAATGAAGGTCAAGTGTCGGTGGATGTAAATGCTGTGATTATAGAATAGTAATGTCATGATAAAAACTGGTTGTGTGAAAGCCTCACCTGGCCATTTGTAATGCAGGTGGGGTTTTAAAGTGGTGAGGGTCAAGGTGGAGAATCTGCAGCTGAGCATGGAGTAACACAACTGTTAATCTGCTTACAGGAAGCTCAGGCTACAGAGAGTTGTTAATTCCTCTGTTTCTCTCTTTACTGATCCCAGAGCAAGTCTGCAAACAATCCTCACAGAGAGGGTTTTACTGACAGGATTAAATGTGATCGCTGTGCACTAATTTGGAATAGTTCACCAAAGAGGCCCTCCCCTTCCTGTTGAATTCTGCAACAATAGAAAAGCCCACTTGTTTGTTGAACTCATTAGCTGTAAGATGAACTCAGTAGTTGTTGTGTTGTCTAATGAGTAGAACAAGAAGAAATCAATCAGCTTGATTTGTTTTATTTCTCAACGTATTTTACACAGATTCCTTTAAAAGTTCAACTGAACCGTGATCACTTCTAAAGCTCTGAGAAAACAGCTCCACAAGTTCTTCATCATGTGGTGAACCGGACTGAATTCAACGCTTTGTGTTTTAAAAAGCAGACATTTTTCCAAAATTATAACACATCATGTCCGGTCGCAGTCACAGTATTTGTACCACCACTCGAGCATAAAGAAGCAGCAACGATCGTCTTATCGTAGCTTTTGGATTTTTTTAAGCTGTAACATGAGGCTGTTTCACCAGACTCCCCATCCCATCATTCCTCACCCATTCAGGCCAATAGACAAACTAAAGTTCTTGTACTCAGAAACAAAGATGAGCCTTGATATCAGTGCTCGGGGCTTAATGTTGGGGCCAACTTGTTAAATTTGGAACAACTATTGATATTCAAACTGTCTCAAAGTGTTGTCATAGTAAAAACAACCAGATACAAACTAGGAATGTCGGATCTCTGAACATAACAACAGCTCTGTGGATAGATTCAGTTTACTGTCTTCACAGCGGCTGCTTTGGATGCTCATTGCAGGTCATTCTAATGGAAATTTGCTACATGTACTTTAATTATTGTAAAGCACTTTTAATAAATCTGTGTGACATGGTTCACTGTCATAAATGTGATAATGGTAAATTTATTTTGGTATTGATACTAATCAGGTGCCCTCAGGGAGGTTCATTTCACTTTGTTATTTAAAATTTGTATGACAGTTTCTGGATTTAGGAAATATTGTAAATCACAGTAATTTATCTCATATATCTGTGATAAAGAAATGGCTCATGTCAGGCATAACAGTGAAGACACAGTAACAGGATGATAAAAGTGCACACATTGTTACACACAATATCCCATATCACCGTTTGTAAGCTGCAGCTGCAGTTTGACATTTGGTGTCAAGTCGATATCTTTTCACAGACTCCATTTCCATCTCCTGTCAGTCTGCGTTTTCCAGGATTCCCCCTCCTACCCAAGTTATTTCCTGTTTTTCACCGTCCTCTTGTTTCTGCATTTTGCAGTGCTGGCTTTTGGTTTTTTCCATGTTTATTTCTACCCAACAGAGGGCTCTCTTGCCACTGGTTTCAAAGTGAGGAGGAGGAGGAGGAGGAGGAGTAGGAGGAGGAATGTGAGGCAGTGGCACAGTGATGTCATTTAGCTGCAAGGCAGGACTGCACTGGAGGAGGAGGTATCCAGGGGTGATGACGGTGAGGACAGAGGGTGATTCCTTCCTCACACGTCTTTCCTCCCTGATTTACGATAATCTCCCTGATCCCAGTAGTTAATACATTTTACACTGAATCCTATTAACAACAATACGGAGTGTTAAGTCCACAACTTTGTCTCCTGACTGTCGCAGAGTGCTGCAGCTTTGTTTGTGTCACTGTGGTAATTTTCCGTTTGTTCTGTGTCCGTGTGTCTGTGTGTTGAAGAGATGAAAGATGAAAATTACTGGTAGACTCCCAGAGTCCCACAGCAGTCCTCACTTCCTGCCCACCACCCTGCCTCTGACACACACAAACAGTTGTTTAGTAATGTATATCACATAAGCAACCTCCCGCCTCATTTATCTGCTCTACCTCTCTCTTGTCTTCACCTTCTCTATTTTTGTCTTTTCTTCTTTCTTCTGTATTTTAGTCGGCGTCTGATTCTCTTCCATATTTGTATCGTTTGTAGTTTTTTCCTTTTCTTCTCTCTTTATCGCTCTCTCCGTCTCTGCTCCTCTCACTATCTCCCTCTCATCAGTCACTTTAAACGCTGCTGCTAGAAATAGGAGTAAGACAGGAAGCAGCAGAGGGTGAGAAAGACAGAGGGGAAACAGGAGTTTGTGACAAACTGAGAACATCGCTCTTCAAATCTAGTAGACCATAATGCACATACCGATCTCTCACACACACACACACACACACACACACACACACACACACACACACACACATGCATCCTTTTTGTGGGTCAGTAATCCTCATTCCAGTGGAACGCTCTGTATTCATTATGCATGCGTTACTTTGTTAAATTAACGTTTGATTTACCGGTGCTACGCCTGGGTCCGCAGCAGAAGCATTTCTCAGCATCTCGGTTTTCTTTTCCTTATTTTTACAAGTTTGTTTTTCATGCGTGGTTGTGATGGATGTTGTTATTCTGGGAACTGCAGGAAAAGATGGCGCTGCTCAAATTCTGGGTCAGGGAGCTTTGTCTGGGTCCTGGGATGTAATTTTGTTTTGTCTAGCGGCACAGAAACACAGAAGAAACATATTCGGTGCTGTCGTTTATCATATCGTCATGTGATGTGGGTTTCAAGATAGTTTAGTTTTCGCCCTGCAACTTGAATCCAAGAGTTATCAGCATAAATTATATTGAATACAGACCAAACTATCAAATCCAGATTAGATACGACCAGCGGTGTCTAAGAGGTGGGAGGAAGTGAGATCACGATGATGAATGTCGTTATGAGTCTGTAAAGATTAATCCCTGTTCAAGTGCCTCTGAGCAAAACCTCTGACTCATATGATGCTTTTTTAATTTGTATTATTAATATTAGAGGAAACACGTTCTGATGCATGAATAAATGAAACTCAATGAATGTCATGTAAGGTCATTACTCTCTGCAATAAAACATTTACTCAGGATTACTGGTCCATCTATTTATTTTGTCTGGTCAGTCATTAATAGCATTTGAAAAAAACAGATTATCATTTATGTAGAAGCACTTTTAAAATGTTAAATATTCTATATTTCATCTTTGGGAAAATGTCTCCTCATTTCTATCTTCAGCACCTGTTGGAGGAATGATGTTTGCTTAAACTTGCATGTAAGTCACTCACATTTCTATTGATCTCGTCCCCGCAGGGCTTCCTGATTGGTGCACGGCCAGAAAATGCGTGCGAGCCCATCGAGCCGCCTCCGAGGGACAACTTGACGGGCGCCTTCATTGTCCTCATCAGGCGGTTTGACTGCAACTTTGACATAAAGGTACGGTGTTTACACGGGTTAGTGTGTGTGTGTGTTTGTTGTGCTTCGGTGCCACACTTTTAATCAACAGCAACCAACAAACGACCAAACTGTGTTTTTCATCATTGGTAAAAATGAATTGTGGCCTTTGTGTTTAACCGACTGGCTTCCAGTCCTTGTTCATTTCAAGTCGGTAATTTTGGAAACTGGGAATGTTGTTTTGGTGCACAGCAGTACCTAAAAACACAATTTAATTCAGCAGCTGTTCAGTTCTATTGGGGCAAGCTGTTAATACTTAAATATGTGTGTGGTACTTTACACTCCTGTGTGTTTCCTCCCAGTGCATTTACTGTATGTCAGAGTTAGTTTCACTGAAAACAGGAAAAGGCCATTTCCCTAAACACAATTTGCTGAATAAGATTCTATGCCTCTTTACTGCCGCTTTTCTCCTTTTGTGTAAGTGAGTCGCTGAGTGGCTGGAGGTCGGAGAGAGATGAGCTCCGTTTGTCACTTGAGGCAACTGATCACGTCAGATAGACGCCGTCAGAAGAAGATGAAGTACAAAAAGAGTGCAGTTGTATTTGTGTGTCTATCGGTGACACGCTGATTTATAAAGCAGAATAAAACCCTCTCAGTGGTTGTATATTAACCTATAGGTTTGAGGTGAAACGTGATATTGGCTGTGGCAGTTTTGAACAAAACACACGACTTCCACATTAGTTTCAGTGTCTCTGCAATCTTAACATAAGCACAGCACAGGCATGAATATTCTCTTTCAGAGAACTTGATGAGACATAAAACACTTCAGTTAACACACAAGGGAAGGTATATTTTATTTTTTGTCATTGTACTGGAAGGCCATCTCGAAACTTCCACAGCGACTGAGTGTTATAGGTTTGTTTAGAAAGCCCAATAATTATGATGTGGTTGATAAACAAGGTGATAAAAGGCTTAGATATTATTTTTTTTTAACCTGTGGCTGCTATTTTTACTAGAAATGCCCCAATACCCCAGTAAATGCCGGGTCGGACATCAGCAAGTATGCAAATCTATGTACTGATGATCCGATACCATTTCCTTAAAGTATGTTAATTTCACCCAGATAAAACTGCAATTTTCTTTTACTGGAAGTCACTTTCTTCTTTGCCGTTCCCGAACAGTTGCGCTGTACTGCCACTAGCAAGCTCAGATTTTAAAGCGGAGAAGAAGTAGTGTAGCCTTAGCAAGAGCTAGCTAAAATTTCAGGAATTTGGCAATATTTCATGCTGGAAAGTCCCACAAGTAAAATGGTGCCGTTTAAGACTTTACCAGTTTTGAGGGGTGGCATTAGTGTTGCCAATTAAGATAAGATAATCCTTTATTCGTCCCACAACGGAGAAATTTGCAACGTAAATATAACATGCAATACTTATAATTGTAGGGAAATATAAAAAATGCAGAAGAAGAAAAAACAACACAAGCAAAAGTCCTAGAAATCCCCACTTCCAGACAGGGTTAGTTGCATAAAAATTCCATATATAGATTTGTTATTTTATTCAAAAATTACACAAATAACGGAGTAATGCTTGACTCTGCAGAAATCTGCATTGAATGATCACAGAAGTCGCCATCGCCACATCAACGCTTTGATGGTGATCAACCAGAGCGTAGTGGTGGAGTATTATAGAGAAACGTGTAACTGTAATCTGTAACAAGGCATTAAAAACACTGACGGACTGTGAGAAAATCTAACCACTGCATTGATGTTCCTCTGTGATGAGAGAAACTTCAAATTTCTGATCTGAGCAGTTGATACATTTGTTAGTAGAGCTGGCAGAAAGTAAATTACTGAGTTTTAATATTAATACAGCACTCAATGTTTTTTCTCAAGGTAAGTCAGCAGTTTATTCAAAGCAAAAGTTATTTTTTCTTTTATGCTATAGATATGTCCATCTATCATAACGGATGGGGGGAGGGAGAAGGAGTGAGGTAAGAAAGGGGAGGAGAGAAGAGAGCGAGGAGTGAGAGCAGCGATGAGTAATGGACAGAACGAGAGGAAAGCATGCAACCTCTTGGCCTCATCTTCCTCTCTGCTTCTGTCCAACTCTCTCTCTTACTATACTTACCTTTTCCCTCTGAACTTTTGTAGTTGCCTCCCCATTCATTCGCTCGCACGTTTTCTTTTCCTTTTGTTTTTTTCCTCTGTTGTAACTGTGGAGCAGCCATGCAGCCTTATAAGGTCTCACTGCATCTCACACACACACACACACACACACACACACACTCACACACACACACACACACACACACACTCACACACACACACACTCACACACACACACACTCACACTCACACTCACACTCACAGAAACATGTTGACCGACAGAGCAGTGAGGTGTTCCCTTCTCTGGAGCATAACCAGACTCTGCTCCACACAGACACACAATGCACACATGCCAGTATGCATGTGCCAGAAGAGGGAGACAAAAGTTCTACAATGCAGGTTTAAAATGTGGAACCATGTAAGAAAGGGCAAAGTCCGTGGTTGGATCTTTTCAGGGACGTTTGTTGTGTTTAAACGGCTCAGCCCTTCTGCATTTCTTCTCAGAATCTCTGCTGTCACTATCACAAAATGTTCAAATGAAGTGTTTTATAGATTTAATAAAGGGGAAAACCATGCATCGACAGTATATGGCCTCAATGTGCTAAATGAACACAACCATTGGTTTTCTGCTCATATTCAAACTTCTCATCAATAGAAGGAGGATTTATTACAGTAAAACTGGCGTTTGACCATGGGGCTGTAAAGTTTACCCTATATCCTAAATGTGTGCCTGCGTGTGTGCCTGCGTATGTGCGTTAGGGAGGGTGTGTTTTAAGTGTTATCTGTTTACAATCTTTTTTCTTTCTCCTTTGCTCACACCCTGTCCTTGCTTTCACACACACACACACACACACACACACACNCACACACACACACACACACACACACACACACACACACACACACACAGGCTGAGGTCTGATTGTGCACTCTCTCCCTTCCTCTCTCTCTCCCTCCTGTACTCTCGCTCTCCCTCATACACAGCTATCCTTTCCTCTGCTTCTCTTTCCCTTTGGCAGTCTTTGTCTCCCTATCCATCTCACTGTTGTTCTTATCCTTGCTATTGTCCATCTGTCTCTCTACCTGCTTGCTTGGACTCTCTTTCTCTCTCTCTCTCTCTCTCTCTCTCTCTCTCTCTCTCTCTCTCTTGCGTGCGCACGCACACAAACACAGTCCTTTCTCAATTCCCTCCAGAAGCTGCAGGGAAACAAAGGAATAATAAATTCCATCCTGATGGGGACGAGTTGTGTGTGATGAGTGGTGCAGGGGTGTCAGTGTCCACTGCTGTTCCTCTCTCTCCTCAGCCTCCTCTTTAGCCTTAAGCCATCAGCTTCCAGTGAGCAGCAGCGTAGAGTTTTAATGGATCCTCGGCAGTAATGGGCAATAAAACGGATGCTCACCCACTTAACCCTCCATCTAGTCTCAACACCTCCACCCTCAGAGCCTGAGTGTGTGCGCGAGAGGGAGAGTGCGTGAGAGTGTGTTGCGATAAGACATGACGGAGAGGAGGTTGAATGTCGAGAGAGAGTGTTTGAGATAGTGGGGGGGTGAAGGAGATCAAGTGAAAGGGTGTTAATAGGCACTCTCAGAATTTTCCATAAGCACCTGCTGTCAGCTGGATGGTCGGACATTAAAACATATCCCATCAAATACTTTTTTACTGACTCGAGTCACGTCCCATTTTATAACCATAGAACTATAACCTTTAACCAAATGAGGGAATCTAGGCGTTGGAAGTCTGGATCTGAAGTTATCAGAGAAACAATCTGAGTTAACAGCCACTCTCATAGCCCCTCCTGACGGCCTGTGTCTGCTCAAAACACAGAAGCACCGATTTTCAACATGAAACTGCTTTATTCAGTGTTTTTACCAGCTTTAATAACCTAGTGCATTTGTTTTGGAGAACGAGGCCTCTAGGGATAATTCAGATCCTGGATGAGACTTCTGCAGAAATTATCATAGAACATCGAGGTGTAACAATCCCTTGATCAGGCTGCGAAATAATTCTCTTTTTTTTTAAAGAATATTCTCAAACAGGATTAGATTTTATTCATATTTCAAATAAAATAACAAAATACATTATTTTGTTTTAGGTTGTACGTAACAATTCACTTGTAGCTGAACAACCGGGGTGTATGTGTGTGCGCATAGTTGTGGAGGACAATGACAGCAACTGTGGACAAAGCAGGTGGAAAAAAACGCTTTTCTAATTTTCATACTCTCTGTTGTCAACTCAAGTTAAGCAATGAGTTTTAGGCGTTAAGTCTCCAGGAAATGGATGTGTGTGTTTTTGTGTGTGTGTGAGTGAGATAGAGAGATACAAAGAGAGAGAGAGGGGAAAGCATTCCTCCATGGACGCCTCGTTTAAGTAAATCTCCAGAGAGAGATGGTTTGCATTTCCTGTACCAGGATTCTTTGAGGTGGTGGCGGTGACCGGGGGTGGGGGGGGTGCTGACCTTTCTGACCTTTTCTGTGAGTGGGGGGAGGGGGGTGGACAGGAAACTCAATACCCTTTTCCTCCCCTCTCTCTCTCCAATCAACCTCTCCTCGTGCCTCCCTTCTTTCCCCTGTGCAGCCTGTCCGTCCCTCAGCCAAAAACACACACTCAGGCAGACGGGAAGGTCTATATACATTGAGACATAATGTACTAGTTATGTAACGTGTACTCTGATCTACAGAGCACTGTGTGACTACGTTATTCACGCTTATCTTACTTGAATTTGCTGTTTTTCACCTATTCAGTCTTTCTCTGCCGCCCTCTACCCACGTTGTTTTCACTCCTGTCTTTTCTCCACACTACCGCCATTGATCACAATATGATTACGTGTCCATTTAACCATAAACTTTTATTATGAATAACTATAAATAACAAGAAAACATAAATACAACCAACTATATTGAACTTGAACTAAGATATAATAAACACAGATACCAGTTT